TGTGGGAGAAGCAGTGATTTTTAACTAAACTTACATATTTAATAGTTTCTGGGATGTTAAATGAGGTAGAAGAAGGAGATTTTAAGGGTTTTAATGTGAAAATGAAATCAGACACATAATTGGTCCAAGCAGACTATTTGTATTGTGCCTTAATCTTTTGATCAGATTCTTTTGCATTTAAAATATGTAAATTAAGTAAAATAAAGCTCTAAAGGAATAAATCTGGATTTACAGATTTCAGACGCTGTTTCTTGACGAGCTGTTTTTCGTGCAACAAACGACCACAACAATCAGAATGTGCTGGATGATTTGAGCAGGTTAAATATAGACGCTGTCAGGAGGAAAAATGCTCCTCAGCCAGGATGATCTCTGGAGGCGCTGTGGCTGTAACGGCACTCAGAGCCGCCCGGGGGGGACGAGGAGGGAGGAGGAGACGGAGTTGTGACCTTCGAGCTTTTCGGGTGACAACTCAGAGGGAAGTGAGGAGCGAGGAAGACTTTGGCGGAGTTTCAAGGAGAGATGAACAAGCTTCGGAGTGTGTTTGGACCGGTGTCCTCTGGGCCCACAGAGGAGCCTCTCTGATCAAAGTCTGGCAGAATATCGGCTGCTGAGCTTTGAGGAGGGCGCTCGGGAGGAGCTTCACAATGAAAGAGAAAACACAACTGAGCGAAGAACAACACACAAATGGGCCACAGGCAGAGAGAACTGGGCTGATTGATTTTCCAGCTTTCTGCAGGGTTGCTCTTCCAGCTGCAGAAACCAAACATCTGCAAAAGTAACACAATAAAACTTTTATTTTACCCCCTGAAGCTTTTTTTTGTTCTTGAAAACCAACATTAGGGTTTAAAGTCACTGAAATCACTGTGCAACCTTTCAGTTCGATAAGAATAACATCATCTCTATATATCTACTGGGTAAGGTTGAAAACTGATGTTTTATACCTGCTGTAATGGTGTGTTCCAACCAAAGGCGAATACAATTATTTTAATAATATTACAAAGTCAATGCAAAGACCCAAATAGACATTAATAAATGCAAATTTGCACCAGGCGACAATTGAACTTTGAGCTAAAAATGTGAGCTATCGCCGGGTGTTTGTAGACCTGCTCACATTTACTGACATTAATAACAGAAAATCTGTTTATTTCAGGCTCACCGTATATATTAATATATATTCATCTTGCATTGCTCGTGTGAGTAATGTTTAATGGGGACGCACCATTAGTACGTCAGTTCACACCTCGCATTATGAATGCGTCTCCAGTTGTGATCAGTGTCCTTTTGGCTGTTTATTACAAAGATTTGACTCCTGCTTTTACCTCCACTGTCAGCAGCCCTGATGGAGGGGCTGTCAGCCTCACACTGGACGGTTGGACAAATGAACACAATGTTTTTCCAAAAAGAAAGAAAGAACTTCATGTAGAAAGTTTGCCAAATTCACTACTATAATGAACAATGTGTCGTCGTTTCAGAAAGTTTATAAAGTTTCTTCTCACTCATGAATTGTGTAAAAGAGCCCAAACACATCATTTACTTTATAGTGAACTAAACAGACAGCTTGTTTCTGTTGATTATGTAGTATTTCTATGTGTGTGGTCAAATGCGTCCCAGAACTATGGAAGCCCATTTATATCAATGTAAAAAGATTCTGTAAGTCATTATAACAACAAACTTTCTCAATATTTTGACTTAGAGAAACTTTGAGAAACTTTCTCATTATAACAACTTACCTTTTATTCCATCACATTGGTGGAAACAAGCTTTCATACAGACGACTTTGGTAAGTGGTGTTCATCAGAATACGTCTCTGAGTCCACTTGTTATCTGATCACAGCTGTAAACAGGCTATTAAGGTCTGGAATAAAATGCTTCTATTGTCTCAAGTTTCTTCAAGTCATTGAGAAGCAATAAATACGATATTACAGGTTCACATTAGATGAGCAGGAACCTGCACATCAGTACTTAATACTGATATTTATACAGTGTCTTTGTATGGAGGTTCCTATACGTCAAAGAGCTGAAAACAAGTGAAGTGTCGGGGTGGAAATCAGAGGAAGCTAAATGTCATCAGTGGATTGTACGTTTATTGATTGTGGTAGTGAACCGTGACAGGAAACACAAAGTTTTCCAAAGGTCCAATTAATTACAAAAACCTCATTGGTTTGTAGCAGTATTTGTACTTCTCATTAGTTCTACAGCCATTAGTGACTTGGTTGATCGTCACTCAGTTCTGACTTATTGTTGGTCTGAAGAGGTAAATAATGTTTAATACAAGCAGCCAAAGCTTCCCAGTGGTCTTATACAGGAAAGGCTACAGGACAGATCACGTCATAAACAAGACTTGGGGAACGGTTAGGTCCGTCCTTAGCAGTCAGTCCTTAAAGTCTTAAATGAGTGGAGGGACATCGGGGTCGTCCACAAACCCTTCAGAGAAGCTGCTGCGACCTGCTGTGGAAGGTGGAGCCACCCTGGATGTTTCTAGAGGACCTTCTTTGGTGCTCCGGCGTGGTACGATGTTGGCGAGGTCGATGGTTGTGCGTTTACTGGGGTCCACCTCCAACCTCTCAGGAACAGTGTTTCTTCTGTAGAGTGAAAACATCAGATGTCAATAACACCTTCAACGATCATAATGCCAAGACCTCTGAATAGCATTAGCTAAAGACCAGGCCATTGCAAGATGTCGGCGAAAACAAAAAACAACAACATCTGAATATATTTTGTAATATTGAATATGTGCTATAACTGATGCCATGGATAAGACATTACAGATGAGTTGGTGTTTCACACACCAAACATATGGTGTCTTTTGTAGCTTGTTTTTAAGAAAAAGGAAATTGATTAAAATGGTAACTTGGATGTGATGTGAAGCTCTAGTAGGAACAAAGTGATACAACTGGTATGGATTGTTTTGGTGGGCTTTTTTTATATGGGTAAAACCCGTCTTTCTGCAGCCTCTGTCCACAGCAGATTGCTCTCTTTATGTGCTGTGACTCCTGTCTGCACGCCGACCGCTACTGTGGACGAGTACCTCATAGGTCCGTGTACTCTGTGGTAAACTGACTTTTGTTTTGAAATGAGAAAACCAAAAGTCCTGACTACCGTTTATAAAGGTTTATAAAACAAAAAAACCTTTTTTCTATATATAAATGGTACTTGGGGAAACAGCTGGTTTCCAGATTTTAGTTGTCTAATTTCAAAATGAAAATCTACCATGAAGCACACTGACCCTCATATTCCCTCTTCAAACCACCCGTTAAACGATTCCCTTTAAAGGATTTCTTGTCTGTCTGCTGCTCAGACCTTAAAAACATGTAACGTGACTGACGATGTAGTCAGTCCAACTGCTGCCGAGTCTCGTTATGTAATGACTTATGAGGTTCGTCTATCTGTCAATGGACCAATTAAACACCAACAATCAATGCCCTTAAAACTTTATTTTTCCTTCGCTGTCTTTAAATCACTTTTTTGAGCCATAATGTGATTTTAAATTAATCTCCAGGGGGACGACGGTCCATTTTACCCCACAATATGTTACCATTAAACCCAATTGATCCCCCTGAACTCATCACTTCCATCCCACAGCAGTGAAGTCCTTCCATTTACCAATTAATCAGTTTATGTTTCAACCACAGCCGCTGTCAGATGAGCTGTTAGTGGAGAATGATCTTAAAATCATCTCCAGCGATTCATCCGATCACTATGTGTGTGTGTGTGGGAGATAATGTTAACCATGTACGATGTGTGACAGCATGGGACTGGAGGTTTTGCCATTTTCACCTGATGTATAGACAGTTTAGAGGATAAAGCGGCTGTTTAACTTTACAACACTTGCTAACGTTAGCTTGCCACCACAGACGAGCGGCGCTTCATGCCATCACTGGTAAGAGAGCGAGATATGTGGCCCTTTGGTGTAGATAGCTGTAAGTCAGCAAACAAATCTGCCCCAAATTATTAAATTCTATATTTTCCTCTGAGTCTTTTCTTCTTTGGATTTGGAGTCCAGAACTTGCGAGGGAGACTAGTAGAGGCGCCAGATCAGGATGTAACATATGACGCACATTATGTTTAAAATAACCATTATTCATTTCCATCTAATTTTGTGTCAAAGCCTCAGGAAGCCTCCCCCCTGGTAAAGTCTTTACAGTATGTATGAGTGTTGTCACACATTTGTACTAGATTTTTTTTCAAATTCCTTTTAACAAAATGTGCTCATTTGAAATTCATGATTTTTGGGGAAACAGTGACAGTGCTGCTTTAGGTATTAAACACTGGAACTTTTATGACGTTGGTTTTACACCACAAACAATGCTACGAAGGTGCATCCGCTCTAAAATGCCAATGCTAAAACCTGAAAAGGCAGCTGGTCGACCTCATTGGAGGCAGATATTTAAATGAACTTTACCAATAAAGGCTGCAGTGTAAACATGCTGCAGGTATCAGTCTGCACACGGGCGCCAAAGGCGAGCTGATATTAATGAAATGTGCTGATTCTCCAGGAAGAGCGCAGCAATTAGAATTTAATCTCGAGCACAGCAGCAGACAATAAACAGCAGCAGGACTCTGCGTTGCTCTGTACATTGTGCCACTTGTTTATTGAGAGGGGAATAAAGCTGCCAGAGGACGCTTGCTGTATACATCCCCTCTTTATTCACTCTGCAGCAGGAAAATCACCAGCTCGGTTTCAGAAAATGGGAAAGTAATGCAGAGCATTTTCCTGCTGGTGGAAGAAGGAAGCGAGCATCTATTTTTAGACTGGATATGTTTGGTATAACAGAGTCCAAACGGCATTTTAACTGCGACTGACGAGTGACAGTCCCCCTTCAGGAACATCCAGCAGCTTCACTGATGGTCTGAGCTGAACCAGAACCACAAACACGAAAACTAAGTCTCCAAAAATGTTTTAATTACTTTAACTATTCATATTTTATTCATTGATTTAGTTGGTTGATTAAATTTATTTAAATGAATAAGTTCTCAAGGAAATAAGAGCTGCAAAGAACTAGTCTTTTCATTTTTAATCAATCCATCGATTTACATCATATCAGTATATCAGTTGATCTATTAAATGTCAGTTAAAAGTAAAAAAAAATCTGCCACAGTTGTTTAAAAGATATTCAGTTTACTATAAAACAAGAAAAAATAGATCAGTTAATCACTGATTTATAAATAAACTGCATCTAAAATAACTTATTTCTCTGTGTTCCATATAATCAGAACCAGATTACAGCCATAAACCTTTCTGGCAGATTTCAGATGAAATTGTTAGTTAATTACCATTTTATTTGCCAGACAGTGAATCATCTAAAGGTGGTTCAGGTTAAATATGCTGAACCTGAATCAGCCTAAAAACACACAGGACTCTACTGAACCCTTTACCAACCCTATAGGTTTATGTTATATTATAAGAAATATTGTTTTTAAACCACCTCAAACTCTTTTTATGTCCTTTTCTACACAATGTCAAACATTTTGGGGCGTCTCTTCAGCACTACAGTACGTCGTTATAACGCTGTCACATTTTATCTTTATTAAAAAACTACAGTGTCTGTGATTTGCATATTGCACTTGGCCATATTTCAGTAATACTTGGATTAATTGTGCATGCAACAGAATTTAAACTCAGCGATTGGTTGTATATGATCAAAAACGCACCTGTAAGAGTTTAGTGAACTTCTGGTTTTTATGGTTGTTTTAGTGTCTTATCCAACTGTCACCTGATATCGTCTATGAGAGAAATAAACTCTCCCCTCGGTCCCTGAATGTAGGACCTGAGCGTCCTCAATGGCAGATAATTATATAATTTCCCTCTGGGATTATTAAAGTATTTCTGAATCTGAATCTGAATTCTGAGTAAACTCGGTGCTGATGTGAGAGTCTGTATGAACGAGGAGGAGCAGATAAGTGTGACTAAGCTCCAGTATCAGTTATCAGTCTCGGTCCGATGACCTCAGTGAGTTGTAATCGGCTGCTGTAATAACATCAGCTGCTTCTGTTTAGTGTCTGTGGCCACCGATCCACTGAGGATTAGGTTTGGATGTGATTCACATCCAGATAAAAGCCAGACGAAACAAGTCACATGGACTCAGAAAAGGTTGATATCAGGTCCCGGTGGAGAGCTGTGACACGAGGACACTCGTCGTTATCAGTCGCACTTCCTGATTGATTTCACTGAGCTTCAGACATATTCGCTCTGAAAACACATTAACATTTAAACTGTGTGTTAAATGGCATTTTTACATGTAATATGAGATATTTTTGGCTGATTAGCTATTATATTGGCTTATGATAGTCTGGAACCAGGTTAAGAAAACTGTAGAAAACCGTGAAAAATTTTCAATATAACAACCTCAAATTGCTTTCCAACAGTCCAAAAGATATTTTGTTCATACAGGAATAAAACTGATATAAAACTGATATAAAACAAGTTATCACATTTAAGATGAAAGGACCAGTGTGTAGTATTTAGTTGGTTGGATTGCGACCAACTGAAAACCGCTCACCTTCCAAGTCTGAAGGAGAAACTACGGTGGCCGCGAAAAACACGACAGCCCGATCTATAGCCAAAGTTTGTCGAAAGAACACAAAAAACAAATGTTTTCTGTTTCTTTTGTTTGACAATAGAAAAGGAGAACGACCCATTCTAAGTTTTTAGTTCCCCTATATAAATGGTAGTCGGCAAACAAGCTGATTTAGGTTTTCCAAACGAAGTTGAGTACACTGACACGAACTGTGTACAGGGCAACAGGACGCTGAGTGCAGTTCACTTAACGGCCACTGGTGTTAGTACTAACAACCATTTAATGAAAGTTATGGAACCTTTAATAAAATGAGTCAAGACAATTATCAAAATAGTCACAGCGATAAATAAATAGCTCACAACTCGACCAATATTTGCAGCTCTATGTGAAAAGTTCCCATCCTTAAAATGTATTCTGTTCATAAAAGTTTCCTTCAAATGATAAAGGAGCTAAATGAATCTACAGTTTATTAATGTACATGAGGAGCTGTAACAGAGGGTTCGGGGGTAAAGATTGACGACATCTTGCAGTCTAAGTTTAGCTCTAACACTCATTGTGCTAATGGGCAGGTAAACCTAATGGTCAGCACTTCTCAATGGGAGATGGATGGCGTCATTAGTCCAGGGCTCCTCTACTGATTCCCTCCTTGGTTAGAAAGCCCAAACATGGCTCCCTGTAATGGGTCACCCAAGGCAGAGGCCCGCTGGTCGTCGTATCTCACGGGTAATGAGGTCTGTGGACCGTCTCGGCCTTATGGTCAGACAGAGGAGGTGTTATAATGAGAGAGCTGAAGACCGTGGACGGGGCAGTATCGATAAAGTCATTGGCTGTAAAGTTTGCAGGGGTCAGGAGGAGGGGTCAGGGGTTGAACACGGTGGTTATTCTTCTGTACGCAAAGATAATCAAATCAGCCCTGAGGGACGCCATCACTGGGTCAATGTATTATGTGTAGGGTTGACTCCTGCATTATTATGAGAGCCTTCCTGTGCCCCCCAGGGTCGGGCGATTGGACGAATACATGAGCTATTGGCTGGGGTTTTTTTTACATTTTATTTTGCTAATTTAATGTTCTGCCTTTGAAGAATGAGAGTGGCTTTCCACTAGTTGGACAACAGAGAATACAGTAACAAGGTGATTCACAGAGGCTCCAACCAGGACTCTGACTCTGGGGAAGACGAGGACGCAGCAGGGACAGGAGAGGACCTGCCTAATCAGGAAATCATGAATCAGGAAGGTGTTTTTATTTTCCTTTCTTGACATTTGGTGAGTTTATTTCCTTTATTAAAGTTGTTAGAGCTCGTTGGACGTAGTGAACTTGCTGCTCATCTCTTAAGCCCAGTACACACACGGGTAAATATATCAGCAATATATCGTAAACAGCCAATTGTTGGACTGATGGTTGGAGAATTTTAACAGATCACTGAACTTTATTGATATGCTGATAAAAACTTGTAGTTACTGTTGTGAGCAATAATAAAATAAATATATTCCTAACATTTCTTATTTCTTATGAGAAATACTAAAGGTGAGTTTTTTCATTTAATTTGCAAACAGCTGCCGACAGTGCTGAAAGGACTAGTTGATTGATTGATTGGTTGATTGATCAATAGAAAATCACCAATTATTGGAAAATAATTTTCTGTTTCTGTTTTAAATCGCCGTAAATCAGATTTCTGATCTTCTGAAGACGTCACCTTCAATTCTTGGAAAATCGCATGGACATTTATTATTTATTTTGAAGTCTTTGAACCTGGAGCTGCTCATTGTAATCCCATTGATTTAAATACAATAATACAGAGTTTGCTTCGCAGTTGACCCTGACCTCTGACCTTTCACAACCACTTTGGATGCCGTCTCAGTGAGCTGTCTGTCTTAGATAAGGTTTAATTTTCCATTACATGATACAGTTCACACATTGCCCTGCCTTGTGTCATCAGGCAACTGCAGTTCAAACCTAATCATGGCCTTCAGATCCATTTCCATCCCTGCCAGAGGCTGAATATAGGGTAAGCTCGGGGTCAAAAGTCGCCCCTACTCATGTCCGAATGGTGTAATAACTCGCCTGTCACCTTGCCGTGGCGCGGGAGCAGCTTAGCATTTTTATCGAATGTTTAATTTGAGGATGCAGGATTGCAGCGGGGCTCTTTACTGTGTTTGATGGGGCCAGATGAAGGACAAGAAGCGGCTCCCGGTCATAAAACGGTAATGATGATAGTGCGATGGCGAGCGCAGGCGCCTCCAGACGCGGAGAAAGAAAGCGAAGCTCAGTCAAACAGCAATGTGGACTAATGTGGTCATTAAGAGGTGATCTCCGAGGCAACCCAAACCTCGTCATCATGCTTCAGTCTCTCCACCGAGGAAGAGCTACCAGAAATAATTCATGTTACTGCTGAGTCATAAAATCTTACTTAAAAAAGTGTGAAAATACTACTACTACTACAAAGTCAAGAATTAACTTTAACTATCAATACTTTAATCAATATTCAGTAAAACAACTTCTGTTTTCATTTTCTGTAAATTCAGGATCGTCCATCGTTCCATTAAACTCTGCTGCTATTGTGATTGTTTATTTTTGACAGAAATATTGTTTTAATTCACTAATACCAGTCCCATCTACTTATCTACCTGATTTTTTTGACTGTCAACGAGACTGTTCCTGTAGGTTTTTCATAATAAAAGCCTTTCTGTGGCTCAAAAGCCTGGCTTTTAATTTGAAACTTCTGACATTAGCTTGAAGTTAAAATGACAGGACGGTTGCACTGGTTGTGTCTGCAGTACTGTAGTTGGTTAGAGACCAACCTTTATGTGTTTATGTGGCTATCATTGGAGACTTTATTTAACGCTCTGAGAACTTACAGTACTTCAGAATAGTGCTGACCATTTTCCAAAACACGTTGTAGCATCTATCTTCAAAATGAATCGATCACAGTAAACATCATGTCTGCTTTTATTTCTATCAGTGACATTACAGTTGTGTAAGTGCAGATTGATTCCAAAAGTCTCCACTGTTTTTCCCCCCAGCGCTAATGTAACGTAAGCAAGTTTCATGTCTCTGCACATTGATTTTTTTTACTGTTTGGGAAATAATGGAAACCAACGACTACCTGGAAGAAAGGAAAATGTATTTTTATCAACAAACAACAAAACTGTAACAAAGAAAACAGAGAAACAAAAAGAAAACCAGACGGATTTTGGTTCATGAAGGTCTTCAAAGACAAGAGGAGTTAGGAGAATCGAACAACAGTTTTAAATGAAACCTTTATTATTACAGATCAGCTGTATTGATTGATTGGATATTGTACTACAGCGCTAGATGCCACTAAATCCTACACACTGGTCCTTTAAAACCAGATAAATTTCTCGTATGTGTTCTCAGAAAAGTCTCACATTGTAACTAAAATATGGTTATAGAAGAAAATAAATATATATAGTTGTTCTATCCCAGTACGGGATCTCAGTCTGGGTCACATTCAAAGATAGAAATGAATCCAAAATAAGAATACTAACAGCAGCCAGAGCCTGAAGCTTGGACTAAACCCCAGATTAACAGCATTTTACTGAATATGAGGAACTGAGAGGGTGTGATACTGCAGCTTCGGTCAAGGTTATCTGTGGCCAGTGTGGAGTCATTAGCAGGGAGAGCGCTACCATCCAGCAACATGGCAGATAAAACAAATCACACAGCGTTTAAAATACAACAGGAGTCTGTAATTAGGACAACAGGGACCTGATAAGCCGCAGGCATTTGAATATGTGCGTATTCAACTCAAGGCCAAACAAAGACCAACACTCGACTGATACAAACACACAGCTGCCTGCAGCCACAGCTCTCTTTGAGCTTCATTAATATTACAAACTTAATGTTTTATCGAGTAAATGAACATAAACGGAGTATTTGAATAGGTTGGATAGATTCAAACAGTACCTATTTACTGAGAGTTTTATGGTCTCTCGGTCCAAATCACTGACAGACAGTACATGAAGATGTACGACACGTCTCCACTTCCTCCAACTGCACCAAAAAGGAAGCCAAAAAACCCTGAATATGGGCACCGCGTCTGCAGTGAGTATCAAGGTTCCTCCCACACACTCGTCCCCAGCTGTCAATCATGTCATAAAAACCCCTTTATAACATCAAATAACTCCTTAAAACCAAACTGATTTCTGTTCACAATGATTAATTAAAGGACCAGTGTGGACCATTTTGTGACATCTAATGGTGTAGTTGCAGATTGCAACTCCCTCGCTTCACCCTCCAGGTTCGAAGGACAAACTACGGTGTCCACAACACGGCTGATGCTGACTGTATTATGTTAATATGGAAGCCCTGAAAGGCAAGTGAAGTGCCTTGGGGGCTGATTCTAGGGGGCGCGGCTAAGCCATTTTGTGACGCCCATGTGCGGGAACAAAAGAATACTTAAATTTTGGTAAACGCCGAATTTTGTGCAAAGTTTGATGAGTTTTTGAGCATGTTAAGACCTCCAAAAATGCGATTCATATGGAATTGAAAAAAGTTTTAATTTCAAAAAACGTACTGGTCTTTTTTAATAAAGAAATAAAGAGATTTTTGCAAACACTGAATTAGTTTAAGGCAAATAAACAGCTTGTTCCTACATTTGTATTATTATACGTCTGGTGTGTTTGTCATTTCCAGTCATTTCCAGTCATTTCCATGTCTGTATGTTCAGTTTTTTTTTAGGTCTTTTTGTCTTTTTTTTCTAGCTTTTTCTCGTTATATATTTTATTTTTATTTATGCTTGCTTACATTGTCAAAAACATTGTATTATAATATTATATAGGCAGTAAAATCAAGAATAAAATAAAGAAGAAGTCATAACAGGCTGAGGAACGAGTGTTTATGAAGTCAATTTTCCTTCCTGTTCACACATCATGAGGACGTAGAGAGAGAATATGATTTACCTTTTACTGTCCTCAGACGAGCTGGTTCGACGCGCTCTGGGCGGACGTTGGACGGTCTTTGTCACTTTGATTTCACCTTCAGCCTAAAAAGACACATCAGAGGAAACGGCGTGTTTACTCTGCAAACAGCTTCCCGCGCTGTTTACTGGCGCTCTGGTGCGGGATGTATCAGAAGCCATATGGAGGATTAATAGTAGCAGCTCTGATTCTGCCGTATCAGCACCTGCCTCCCTTTATAGACACTATAAAGAGTTCCTTCATTACACCCCGGAGCACCAAAAAGCCGGATCCTCACCGGCAGCAATCACAGAACGCCGCCCGTCAACCGGTCAGACGTTCATCAGTGAGGTTGTAATTTAATGAAACATGAGACAAGTTTTCCTACAAAGAGAATTATTAGGTTTCATATTTTCATAATTTCCTTTCTGACGTCGCCCCCTAGAGGCAAAACACTAAATCTCCAAACAGCTGTAATGTCACATGTCTATGGAAGCCCATTGAAGCCAATGTGAGGAATAAAAAAGATTCTGTGAGTTATTATAATGAGAAACCTTCTCAAAATAAAGATTAGACATCACAAAGTCAATATTTTGAGAAGGTTTGTCATTATAATAACTTCTTTTTTTGTCACATTGGCATAAATGAACTTCCATACATATCAGCCAAACTGTTTCCTGAATGAATATAGTGCATATTAGAATATAATAAGGATTATAATGAGGCAGACCCATGACCTAGTTTAAAACTGGGAAGGTTTTACAGGCTGTGACTGAAAGTAATTAAAGAAAATTGAAATTCAAAAAGTCGAGTTTTAACTAAAAGCATGTTTTAATTCACAGTCTGAGGAGTGTTTGGAAGGAAGGAACCGGCACACAGATCTAAGAATAATCTCTGGTTTCCAACCTGGGGGTCCCAGCCACCACTAGGGGTCGCCAGAGCTGCACAGGGGGTCACAAGGCCTTCTTAATTTTAAGCTTTTTTTAAATATACAGTCAGCCAATATCTCAGCATGAAAGGAAATAGTTCTGTTTAAAGTTTAGATTATTATTTAACTTTGAAGATCTGAACAGTCTATATTCACAGATTATTCACTGTGTGATCAACAGCCTCATCTTGTGTTAGAAAACAACCAAAGAGCTGAACAATGAGAATAAAACACTGAATCTATCTGAATCTGAAGAGCCAATTAAGTCTCAATGATTGTTAAAAATTATTTAAAAAAAAATACATATTACAGACAGAAAATTGTATAAAAAGTTCAATAAACAGGAAATAATCTGCTCAAAATTCAACAAAATCGCTGGTTTTACACAAACTCACTGTTCGGGTTCATTGTACAGTTTTGAATATAACATGAAATATCCATAAAAATATGTCACCTATTTAGGGGTTGTC